TGCCAGAATTCCTGAGCCAACATGACTGGAGAGGAATTCTGGGAGTTGAAGTCCACAAGTCTTAAAGCTGTCAAGTTCAAACACCCCTGGGTTTTTTTTTCTAAAGGGTTAGGGGTGCAAGGGTCTTGTAACTTGACAGCTTTAAGACTTGCACACCGCAATGCCAGAATTCCTGAGCCAACATGACTGGAAGAGGAATTCTGGGAGTTGAAGTCCACAAGTCTTAAAGCTGTCAAGTTTGAACGCTCCCTGGAGGTTTTTTTTTCTAAGAGGTTAGGGGTGTGAGGGTCTTGTAACTTGACAGCTTTAAGACTTGCACCCTTCAATGCCAGAATTCCTGAGCCAACATGACTGGAGAGGAATTCTGGGAGTTGAAGTCCACAAGTCTTAAAGCTGTCAAGTTACAAGACCCTTGCACCCCTAACCCTTTAGAAAAAAAAACCCAGGGGTGGTTGAAATTGACAGCTTTAAGACTTGTGGACTTCAACTCCCAGAATTCCTCTCCAGTCATGTTGGCTCAGGAATTCTGGCATTGAAGGGTGCAAGTCTTAAAGCTGTCAAGTTACAAGACCCTTGCACCCCTAACCCTTTAGAAAAAAAATCCCTAGGGGTGTTCAAACTTGACAGCTTTAAGACTTAAAGGTTTAGATAGGCCTTTTAGAGGCGGGCGGGGCAATTGGTGAGCCTGCCAATCAGTGAGCGCTGGGCGGGGCAACCATGGTGCGGACAGGTGGGGGGAGGGAGCTGGAACCGGTTCTAAACAGCACGGTAGATTTGTGGAATCTCTTTTATAGAAGAGGTTAGAACTGGCAGGAACCCACCCCTGGCCAGCAGCCTTCTTCAATCTTGCATCTTCCAAATATATCAGTCCCATCCTTTCCAGCACAGCAAGGCTCTTGAGGAGTTTTCCAATCCAGCTTCTTTGGAAGGAGTCCGGTTGGATTAGAAACCAGAAGGATAAAAGATCAGGTGTCTTTTTTTCCATCTTTATTCTTTCAGATGTCTGTAACATTTTTTAATACATTTTGAAAGCTGCAAGTTGTCCCCTTTTAAAAAGCAAATAAATATAGTAGATAGCACAAACGAGGAACATCTATTTCTCACATGTTACTGAACTACAGTTCCCAGCAGTCTTGGACAGAGTGGCTAAACGTGAAGGCAGCTGCATGTTAAATTTCATATCTTCTGAAGGATCACAGATTCCATATCCCCAGAGAGATTATGGATTGATGAATTTGATTGCTGATTAAACTAGGGCCAGTCATGTTCTTACAGGGTGACATATGTGATAAATGTGAATGCCCTCCTCCTCTCCTCTTTTTTTTAAAAAATTCTCCAAGGGATGCTTCTTTCCTTCCATACAGTCAGTTAAATTTGCCATTTCGTATCCTTATTTTAGGGGAGGTGGTGGCTCAGTGGCTAAGATGCTGAACTTGTTGATCAGAAGTCAGCAGTTCAGCGGTTCGAATCCCTAGTGCCACATAACTGAGTGAGCTCTTGTTACTTGTCCCAGCTTCTGCCAACCTAGCAGTTCGAAAGCATGTAAAAATGCAAGTAGAAAAATAGGGAAGGTAACAGCGTTCTGTGAGCCTTCAGCGTTTAGTCATGCCGGCCACATGACCACAGAGACGTCTTCGGACAGCACTGGCTCTTCGGCTTTGAAACAGAGATGAGTACTGCCCCCTAAAGTCGGGAATGACTAGCACATATGTGCAAGGGGAACCTTTACCTTTACATTCTTTTTGCAAATAATTTATACTGTGTTTTTCTTTCATAAGATGCTGCTTGAACTAATGTGTCTCTTTCTTTTTTGCGTTAAGATCTTTGACTTTTCCCTCACTGACAAGGAAATGAAAGATATAGAAGCTCTGAATAAAAATGTCCGCTATGTGGAGCTTTTAATGTAAGTCCCTGAATAATTCCAAAGATTGACAATTGGGGGAAATTTGTGGTTTTTACGGGATACTCAGTACATCACTGTCACTTTTTAAGAAAAAAAATGGGGGCTATAAATGATTTGTAAGGAGATTGGGGATTGCTTGATTTGTATGTCTTGTGAACTTGCCCAACTGCTTTGTATAACACATAGCTAAAAACTAGAGTTTAGAATAATGTGTGAAGGGTCCTATATAGCCATCACATCGAAGGACAAATCTCTTGAGCTTCACACTTTTGCTTAGTCCCATGATCCTTAGGGCATCACAGGGCAGTTGCTAATAGCCAGAATTCCTTTGGCTGGGAAGTTGGCACAAACCCATTTTCTGTTCATTCACCGCTCTCCTAATATTCATGCTCCCGTGAGCACAACAAAGATTAAGAATATATGGGAATTATAGATCAGTTTTTCTTTCAAAGGTAGCTTCACTTTCCCTCAAGCTTTTTACCTCAGCATGTAGAAATGTCATCAGTACCACAGAGTTCTATAAAAACAGGAACATCCCTCATGTGGTTGTGTTTCCAGACAGAAATTGGAATAAAACAGCAATAGATAAATGCTAAGATCCATGACTCCTTCATCGGTATATTGTAGTGATGGTGAAACTTTGTGGCACCGAGTGCCCAAGCAGGACCATGTGTGCATGTGTGAATCAGAGCGCTGGACCCAAAGACCAGCTGGCTGGTGCACATGTGCCTGTTTTGGGGGCATTTTTCCAGCTGCTTTTGGACCGGTTTCAGGCCAGTTTGGGGACCAGTTTTGGCCTGAAAACAGCCCCAAATAATCAAAAAACAGACTGACAAACAGCTTGGAAACAGCCCAGAAAACAGCCTGAAAAACAGCCCATGCTGTTGGATTATTTTTGGCTGCTTTCAGGCCGTTTTCCAGCATTCCGGAGCCTGCAAAGAGCATCTGGCAATGGCACACATGCCCACAGAGAGGGTTCTGATTGCCACCTCTGGTATGCGTGCCATAAGTTTGCCATCACGGGTATATTGGATTAAAATCTCCAGAATGTTTAGCCAGCTAGATTGCTTTTGATTCTCCTGTCTTCCCACAATGCAACAGTCTCTGTCATGAAATTCTGTTCATCTTGAAGCTAGAAAATGGCTTTAAGTTTTCCAAAAAAGATTTAGGAGCACAGTAGGCTATTTGATGAGGCTACTGCTCACTTTCAGGATTGATAACATTGAAATCAGGGTCAAGAAATTTGCAGAAGGATAAGCTGAGTAAGAAATGATGCCAAGATTTATTTCACATACGCCTGTGTGCTGGAAGCTATCCAGACCATCCGTGTCCTTAGATAACCAAATGAAGGTCCCAGATTTAGCCCCAGCAGCCTAATTAAAACGGATAGCCAATCTTAAATTGGATGCCTGGCAGTCCAGAAAAACTAACAGAAAGTTAGCCAAACCAGAAAGGCCAGAAACCTTTGGCAGTTCAGAGAACTGAAATAAAATTCAGTAATGGCTCTAGTCCTCAGCATATGTAGCTTAGTCAGCAAGTGTTAAAGAGGTATAATTTTCTTTTATTTCTCAATAGTCAAACAATACCTTGGACATGTCCTTTACCTAGGGCAGGGAGTTCCAAACTTGGCAACTTTGTGGGCTTCCTTATGCTGATTGGGGAATTCTGGGAGTTGAAGTCCACAAGTCTTAAAGTTACCAGGTTTGGAGAGCCCTGACCTAAGGCTAGGAGATGTAGATTGTAAAATTCCAGACAGCAAGCCTGTCCCACAAAACTCATTGAATGGTTTTAGGCCCCCAATGTCTCAATCTAATCTATTCATACAGGTGAGGTGGAGTTAAGATTATGTTGTTAGACACCCAAAGTCATTGGATAGGAGATGGACAGCAAATAAATTTCATAACAACAAACAAACAAATAAGATTAGGGGCCTTTTGCTCTCAGAGAAAAGGAATTAATGTTCCTAGTAATACCAAGTCTCCAAGATGACTCCATAATTTCCATCAATCATATGAAAATTAACCTGTCTCATTATGAGATGTTTTTTCAACTTCCCAGACTATCCAGATATTTGCTGAAAATCTCTCATCCAAGTAGTAACCCAGACTGATCTACCTTAGCTTCTTGAGGTTAATCTTAAGGTCACCTGGTGCTGCCTATTAGTGGCACTACACTAGAACTAATAGTAATGATTATTTTCTCCGTTAGGAATTTTAGTACAATTCTCAACAAAGTTGCAATGACAACCAGCATTTTCATTTCTTCAGAGGCTTTAAGGGAGGTGGCGAGTCAGGAAGGAAATTTAATATATTAATACAGGGGTGACAGTCAAATGTTTTCCCTACTGGTTCTGTGGGCATGGTTTGGTGAGGGGAGTTTCCTGTGACTGAGTGGGTGTGACCAACTCGATGTCACTCACGGCCATGCCCACAAAGTCACATGACATCCCCCCACCAAGCCACACCCATAGAACCTGATAGGAAAAAAGTTATGTATGAGCACAAGAAGGGCTTATAGTGAATTCTGTGGAAGAGAGAAACCGAACGTTTCTCCCTCCATTCACAGCGGAGCTGCTGCTCTCTTAAGGTCCTCCCCAGTCACCTCTCTCCCAGGGACTACCTTAAAGGGACAGGCTGCAGCAGCTCTGCTGTGATTGGAGGGAGAAACGTTCAGATTGTGTGGGCAGATCGAGAAGCCGGAAGGGCCACACAAGTGGTCAAAAGAGGTGAGCAGTGACTGGGCAAGCGGGACACTGAGTGACCAAGCAGGCGACTGAGCAGGCATGGGCGGGGCCAACCAGGGGTTGATTTCTACGGGTTTGAGGGACCGATTCAAATTGTCCCTACTGAGCCGGTCCAATCCGGTTGAATTTCACCCCTGTATTAATACACAACCGTGGTCTTTCTGCTACAACTTCTAGTAAGGCATCATGGGCCATACAAAACAATATTGAGAGTTCTGGTTTAGCAATTCTGGGAGAGAGGCAGTATTTTCATTCCTAGTTTTGCTCATAGCAAATACTGTTTGTGAACCAGTTACGTGACTGTTAGTGTTTCTTTTAATTGACCTTACTAATCCTAACTTTTAATTTCCTGCAGGTGGAAGGACCATCCTGAGTATCCTTTCCATGATGAGTACTGAAAATCTGGGGTATCCAAGAGCATACATTCACCTGTAGTGATCTCAGCTAATATCTTATACGTTTGTATCTGGTAGTAGTCCTTAAGTCACTTAACCCAATCCAATCCTTAGTGCTACAATTTATGTAGTGGATATAGAAAATAAGGCCCATTCAGGAAAAAAATGTTTTAAAACTTAATGTGCAAATACTGCCAAATGTAAACTTTAGTAGATGAAAACAGGATTGCCTTTTTTAAAAACATAGATATAAAAAATATATCTTTCTCCAGCCATCTCAAAACGTGTCATGATTAACGCACCTGAAAGAACAGTTTTGGTTAAGCCTGCAGTGAACCAGAACTACTGGATGCAAAGGCAGGAAACATTGATTGAGGGCAGCAATTATTCCAAGTAAATCTGGAAATAATTTTTGGGAATTGTTTGGATTGCTTTTTTTTTTTTTTAATGGCCTTCCCGGTTAGAACACTCTTTACTCTTATAGCTGACTTATATGTTTCATTCCTATTACACTGTTTGTATGCATAATCACATGGTATATCCCCCTGAATTAGCCTCCCTGAAAATACTTGCAGATGTGCTAGGCTGCAAACTTTCATATTTCCCAGGGGCCACTTGCTGCAACAGAGAACAGCACACTGCCGTCACATGATCAACATTGCTACCTTCCATGCCAATTTCCCCAGAAAGTCAAAGGTGAAGCTGGCAGGAAGATTGCAGAGAGCAGGAATAAGCTTCCCTGAGCATCCCTCAGTCTCTCTGCACTTGCCCCATGCCAGCCACTTGTGTGCCCACGCTCCCCCTCCCCAGCCTATGTGGCTCCTCCTGTTTAGCGCACTACACCTCTCCAATCCATGCAGCAACTCTCATATCCCTGCTCACCCTTCCCATGTACCCACGCACCCTCCCAGATCACCCTCCACCCTCCCACAAAGTCATGGGATTCAGCCAGTTTGCATCAGTTTGGGCAAACTGGTTGTTAAACTACTGCTATCAAAAGTGGATCCTGGGCGCCGCCCTGCAATGGAGAAATGGGGAGCAGAGAGGCTGGTGCAAGGGAAGGAGAAGTCTGCTTTCCCTCTTTCTTCTCCCTGCTCCTTCTCCTTCCTTCGTGCCGGCCACTCTGTCGCCTGTTTCTCCATGGCAGTGCAGTGCCCAGGATCCACTTTGATAGCAGGGGTGTTTATGGGTGGTAATTTAACAACTGGTTCACCCAGGCTCAGGTTGGCCATCGCAGGAGGCTTGTTCCACATGTGCAGCGGAGCTAGAGTATGGGAATGGGCCATGCCTCCCATGACAGCCAACCTGACCCTGGGCAAACCAGTTGTTCAATTATTTGAATCCCACCACTGCTCCCACAACTCTCCCTCATTCAGCAACAAAGGTGGGTTCCTACCAGTTTGACCAAACCGGTAGTGGTTTGCTGGCATGGGTTGCTGGAACCAGCAGCCACCCAGGCCTGCCACACCTCCGAACCGGTTCCCTGGTTGGCGCAGCATGGTTCTTTTTCATTCTTTAATGTTCTGAGCACGCGCAGACCTATTTATGGGCAAAATTGGGTGTGCACCAAACCGGCAGCAATACTGGCAGCAATCCACCTCTGCCCAATCTATTTATTGTCCTGCATGCCTGGGACTTACATCTTCTCAGCAGCTTCCCCACTGACTTTGGTTATGGGAATCTGGCAAGACGTTTCCTTACCTAATGACTGTAGGATTCAATTCACAAAGGCAGCCGGGTCTTCAGAGATTTCTATCACTAAGCAATGCTGTTGCACTTTATGTCCCGCATTGCTTAGCGATGGAAATTCCAGGTCCAGTTGCTGTTGTAAGTTGAGGATGATCTGTACTGTCATTCTCATTTCGCAGTTAAAGTTTGCATTAGAAAATGCATGGTACTGCATAAAGAAGGGCAGCATCTTTATGTATCCTTGATTGGGATGTAAAATTTTAATCCTGCTCCAGTAAGGTTAGTGGAGCCTCGCCAGTAAATCCAGTAGGAGTAAAATGTAACACTCTGTGCTGTACAAAATGTGCTGCCCTTTAAATGCTGTATGCATTCATCAAATAGCTGGCGATGGAGAAGACATTAAAAAAAATAATCAAGGCCCCCATCCAAAGTTAGATGTGTCTACGTCCCATTTAGAACATGATAGTCTTTCAGCAGTCTGACATTCTGCTTTTATCTCAAACCACAACTAGAAAAACGATAACTCTCTTGGCACAAGTACGGCCTTTGACTGAGACTTCGTTCCAAAACTTTGACCATTTGGTTTTCAAATGCATACCAGATGACAAATCTCCACTGAGATGCAAAAGGCCCCAAATTGGAAAGATAGTAAAATTAGTCCACTCATGGGTCCAAAGAAACCTTGGTGAATCCAGTCCTGTTCATTTGTTGAAGATTTAAAGCAAATTAAACCAAAGAGACTCCATTCCCAAGAGGACAGTCAATTCCCAAACTTACCATATTTTTCAGAGTATAAGATGGACCTTTTCCTCCCAAAATGAGGGTAAAAATCTGGGTGAATACAGTATTTTTGGCCTCACAACCCCCCCCCTTTGCGAAAATGGACATGCAGGGGGTTTGGGAGGCCTGTAAAGTGGTTCTGGGGGCTGAGGAGGGCAAAATTGAGCAAAAATGGGCCATTTTCTCATTTTTGCCCCCCCCAGCCCGCAGGAGCACGTTATAAGCCTCCCGAAGCCTATGCATGCCCTGTTATTTTGTGAAAAACAGGCCATTTTTTACTTATATTTGCCCCCCTCCAGTCCCCAGCAGCACTTTGCAGGCCTCTCAAACTCTCTGCATGCCCCGTTTTTCACAAAAAATGGGGTGTACAGAGGGTTTGGGAGGCCTGCAGAGTGCAAAAACCTTTTTTTTAAATTTACCTTTTCAAAATCTTTGTGCGTCTTATACTCTGGTGCGTCTTATAGTCTGAAAAAATCAGTATAATGGGGCAACATTTTTTTTAACTATAGCAAAGTTTTTTATACTTTACTACTTTGGAACTGGGGACAATCAGCTTTATCTTCATTTAGCAAGGGGCATATGCAGAATGTTATTGTTCTGTTGGAGAGATGAAAAAAAAACTGTGTTGGCTAATGCCATCCTTTGTTCACCAGGCAAATTTCAAGCCTTTATACGGTCGGATACATTTTAATGAGACACTGGCCCACAAGTTGTGGCAATTTTTAAGGCTTTGGGATTTATCATTCCACTTTATTTTTTTGAGATCTTGAGCATTGGATAGGGAAAAAATGCTTTAAAAAGCTTTAAAAAAATAGCTGAAAGTGAAAAAAAAGTTGGCCATGCCCACCCCAATCACATGATCCACCGCTAAGCCATGCCCACAGAATGCAGGGGGAGGGGATTAGATTTCACCACTGTATATGATATTGCCAATACTGCCAGTCTAAGCAACACAACACACACACTTGTTGGCTAGGGAATTCTAGGGTTGGAGTCCACACATCTTAAAGTTGTCACATTTGAAAAATATTGATGTAAAAATACCTTTCCCAACCTAGCCCAGCAAAAGTTGGGTCTGGAGAGAGAAATCTCGGTGCTATGAGACAAAGAGTAACAACCAATACAGTCAGTTGCAAACATCAGCTTTGTAAAACATGAAAATACAGTGAGGGGATGGCAAAAAAAGAATGTCATATTACACATTACCAAAGGCAAAACAAACAAGCAAGCAAAAATGCACATGGCTATCCAAAGAAAATTTGCATAAGGTTAACGGCAATGCCTCAAATTAAAAACTGACAACAATAAGGTGGGAACATTTGTTAGAATTCCCTGGCATTATTGAATTATAGATCCAACACATCTGGAAGGCACTAGACTGTGAAAGACTAATGTACTCTCTTGAGCCGTCCACTGATTCCAGAGACATGTAACAATAATCAAACAATGCATCACGACTCAGCAGGAAACATAAAATAAACCCAGTTGGGTACTGTAAGCAATCCAAAATACAAAATGCTTTGTTGCAATGGCTTAAATGAAAAATAAGTGTTCGTGGTTTAGGATCAATACAGAAAAGGGGAAATGCCTATCTCCAAGTAATTCTTCCATTGGCTACAGTCAAGCAGAAAAGCAAGAATGAGGTGTGCTTAGGAAGAGGAGGAGCCAACGTCGTGACGTTACATCATGCAGACTCGACAGTCCGAGTCTGCCAATGACATTTTTGCCCCTGGACGGTCCAGCAGGACCTAAACCGTCCCGAAGAGATGGTGACTGGGAAGACAAGACCTTGCTGGTCGCAGGACACTGCAAAGTCCTTGATCGACCCAAGGGAAGTGCTTCCAACTGGTGGCAAACAGGAAGCCCCCAGGCTGACATAGTCAGAGACAGCTCCGGAAAGAAAGAAGAAGTGAAAGTGTTCCATCTGGTGAGGTTCTTTTGTACTTCTACTTTTAGAAGATTGCCCTAAGAAACTTTTTTTAAGCTNTGAGGGGCGTACTGTTTGACCCCCCAGCCTGAGAGATGGAACACTTGGCCAATTAGTAGGAGGGAAGCACACCAGCCACTCGGTCTTATCTGGATTGAGTACAAGCTTGTTAGCCCGCATCCAGTCCCTAACAGCCTCGAGGCCCTGGCACATCACGTCAACCGCTTCATTGAGTTGGCACAGGGCGGACAGATACAGCTGCGTATAAATTTTAAATTTATATATACATATAAAAAGAAAGGAACGGTCATGAAAACAAAAACAAAGAATTGATGCCTTTACATGATCACACATTGGGGTAACCCCTCATACTCAACAATGTAGGCTGGGTATACCTGATGCTTCTCAAAGATGACAAAAATAGAAGGATTCAGAACATCGTCCACGCAGCTGTCATAGAAGCTGCTTGATTGGTTAGGTCTAGGAGGTGGGCGGACATAAGAAGCTTCTCCTTGGACATAGTCTCCAACCAGAACTCTAGCTACAAACATGGTCTTTGTTTGTTTCTCCGACTTGCAGTATGTGTGGGAATAGCAGGCATCTCTGGCAAAATAGCTTCCTACAAGAAAACACATTTTAAAAAACCAAACTCTTTGTAAAAAATATAAAATAAAATTACTATATATTGTTCAAGGTTTCAAATGTTACTAAACTACAATTCCCAACATCCCTTTGGCTGTGCTGGCTGGGACTGCTGGATACTCAGATTCAGCAACACTAGAGATCCCCCGTTTCCCAAAATAACACATTCACCAATGTGTTTGATGGCTCCTTTTACTTCCAGTGTCCAAAGGTAAGACTTTTTTTATGTAGTCCAATAACACAATCTTCACAAATAACAATCTAACACAAATAGGGATGTATCAGTAGATTCAGTGTGTGCCAAAGAGAGTCTGAGTATGCATATATGGAAAATCATTAGGTGGCAAACTGTACCAAAGCATTCAAAACTGCAACTATATATCTCAACCTGCCTCCAGAAGTTGTGAATGCTCCAACACTGGAAGTTTTTCAGAAGATGTTGGATAACCATTTGTCTGAAGTGATGTAGGGTTGGACTAGAAGACCTCCAAGGTCCCTTCCAACTCTGTTACTCTATTCTATTCTATTCTCGCACATGAACTTGCCTGATAGCATAATTGTAATTCAAACTCAGTATGGTTGTGTAGTGGTTAAGGACTTGGAAGTTCATACCTCCACTGGACTAAGAGGTTTATTTCAGTGATTTAGGTCCAGCCATTACCTTTCAGTTGAACAGGGTTATTGTGGGAATAAAATTAGGGAAGGCTTCCCACCTCTGCAGGTTTGAGCTCTCAAATAAAAGTCAGGACATAAATGCATACATTTGGGGAAATGGATAGAAAAACAATACTTGAAGATACTGCAACTCAGATTTCTTCAAATCTTGCAAATTACATGACTTCTAACTGTCAAGGTAGGGAATACTTAGCTCTTCCAGAATTCACTACTTTTTCCCCAACTCTCTAGTACCTTTTCCATATAGTGTTCCATGTGTGCCACAAATTCTCCAGTCAAAGTTTTGTCCACAGATGTCATGCAGGTGTGATGTGCTAGTGCCATGAAACAAGAGTCGTTCATCAATTTCCTTTCTTCTATTCAACTTCTTCATCTGCTCTTTTTGCCTAGAAAGAAACTACTTCAAGTTATACATGATGTCAAGAAAAATTTAAATCACTTCTCTTTTCCAACTTGAAAGACATTTTCAAGTCCTACTGTCCCCATTTGTTTGTATTCATTTCTTTCGTTCATGTCCATGTTTACACTTATACCTGCTATCTTGTAAATGTTTGACAAACTAATAAAATACAAATACATATCGCAAAAGGATCTAAGAACACTTAAGCTAAATTTACTAATCTAAATTTATTGCCCCAATTTAATATAGCTTTCCCAAGCAAAGTACTAAATTTATTTTTCCCAGATCTATTAGGTTGGGCTATCATTCAGTAGCAATGGATATGCATGAATGATGTAATTCAATTGCTAGCATATTGGAGATGTGCTAGAATTCTTCAAAGATGTGGTAAGGCAGCATTGATCTCAGTCTTAATGAGAGTAGATCAAACAGATCAGGTTAGAAAAGTCTGGTTTACATGATGTCCAAGATCCCTTCCGACTTTTTGCTTATAAGTCACAGGCTATTCATAACCAGATAGATCTGGTATACGATCACACAAAAATAAATTCACAACAGTACTAATGCTCAATAGAGAACACAGAAGATCAGTTCCAGATACAGTACTGGATCCAATTATTATACCATGATTTTGACTCCCCAGGAGGAAAATTAAAATCCAATACAAACCACTGAAAGACTTGCCAGAGAGAACGATTCTGAACTCTTTGAAGTCTATGTATAATGCAATCTTCCATTGTCTTCTCAAAAATCATCTTGATTTCATGATACTCTTCTGAAGAATTAGAGACCTCTACCAGCTAGGAACAAGATCAGAGCCATTGTGAATGAATCTTTTAGTTTCTTTTGGTCTATAAATATTTTTCATTCTTTCTATATTTGTCCCTTTCAGGTCAAAATGGGGGCTTATAACACAACCCATGTAGATCAAATAAATTAAGAGCAGAATAAATTTCTTTAAAAATAATTATAGTTGGGTTTAGACATTGGACTAAGTAGCTATAACCTATTTTTCACAATAAGTGAACCTAACCACTGTACTTTATAAACAATGGCCTCTACACACACACACGCACACACACACACACACACACACACTGTGATTAAGACATTATATATATAATGTCTTAATCACAGTACATCATCGTTCCATTTACTATGTCTCTAATCCCTCTAATACATTATCCAACCTTGATTTACAGTTAAGCATTACACATGAGAGCAAGAAAGAAGCAATGGGTGGAAACTAATCAAGGAGAGAAGCAACCTAGAACTAAGGAGAAATTTCCTGATAGTGAGAACAATTAACCAGTGGAACAACTTGCCTCCAGAAGTTGTGAATGCTCCAACACTGGATTTTTTTTAAGTATAATGGATAACCTTTTGTCTGAAGTGGCATAGGGTTTCCTTCCAACTCTGTTATTCTGTTCTATATTCTATATCAGTGGTTCCCAAACTTGGCAACTTTAAGACTTGTGGACTTCAACTCCCAGCTCTGCTGGCTGGAGAATTCTGGGAGTTGAAGTCCACAAGTCTTAAAGTTGCCAAGTTTGGGAACCACTGTTCTATATGGACAAGGTCATTATGGTTTAGCCTGAGGCATGAATAAATAACTTATTGTAAATCAGCTTTNAAATGAGAATTGTGGTACAGGGATAGTAAAATACATAAATTTTCTTTTTTGATTTAAAATGTACAACTCAATTTGAATGAAGTATATGTAAGGATTGTGGAAGAAACGCACAGAATGTATTTGTAACCAATCAATACACTTTCTACAAGATGTAACGAAGGATGATTCTTTTTTCTTTGTGTTTTTGTTTAATTAAAACAATAAAAAAATTCCCCCCAAAAAAGAATGACGTGCGCTTAGAAGAATTAAAATGTTGGGGGGGGGAGCCTTGTTTGAAGTTCATCATCCAAAGAGGATGATGACAAAAATGATTAGGGGACTGGAGCCTCAAATATATATAGAACAGTTGCTGGAATTGGGTATCCCTAGTTTAACGAAAAGAAGGACTAAGGGTGAAATGATAACAGTGTTCCAATATCTAAGGGGCTGCCATAAAGAAGAGGGGAGTCACCCTATTTTCCAAAGCATCTGAAGGCAGGACAAGAAACAACAAATGGAAATTAAAGGAGAGAAGCAACTAGAACTAAGGAGAAATTTCCTGACAGATAGAACAATTAATCAGTGAAACTATTTGCCTCCAGAAGTTGTGAATTCTTCAACACTGGAATTTTTAAAGAAGAGATTGGACAACCATTTGTCTGAAACATTATAGAGTTTCCTGCCTGAACAGGGGGTTGGACTAAAAGACCTCCAACTCTGTTATTCTCAGTAAGAAATATGGTATAATCCAATCCACAACCTAAGGGATTTGAGGTTCAAACCAGTTCCATACTATAAAAAATAAATGAGAATATGAAACAGAATGTTTAAAATTGATTACAGTTACAGCCCCCATATGTTTATACATCTAACACACACATCTAACACTTTAAATATTACAATTTGCCAACAATTTAGAGAAGGGATTGAAAAAGATAGAGTTTCAGGGAATGTAAAACTTTCTTTTAAATCCTGGCCTTGTTTCAGAATTGCAACAAGCCCTTTCAAATTCAACTGCAGACACATTTTTCTCTCCTAGTACAAGGGCAAATGCGAATTATTAGGACAGATAGCATATAGCAGATGGGTTAATAGATTAAGGAGCAGAGTTTTTTTTAAATGAAATTAAAGATGTGTTTCACATACTGCTGTTTGAAATTTTATTCTTCTGTCTAGTAGTACAGAACAAACCAGTTTTCTCATTTCCAAGTATTCCATTAAGTCATCTGTAAAATTTAAAATTCACATATCCGGATGTGTAAACTTAGAACTAACTTGCTGAGTTTACAGAATAAAAGGTGGTATTTTAATAGCCTTAGCCAAAAAGTAGATCTTTTCATATATTGTAGCTCTACTGACAGAAGTCCATATATTATTAAACAAGTTCTTTTTATTTGTATAATTCTATTGTTCAAAACTGAGCTTCCTGCAAATATACTGGAAAGAAAACCAACCGAGGCCTCTTTTGGATTGGGAATTGCTCTTGGACTTGCAAAATTTCCTTTTAGCTCTTGGAATTATCAGAGGAGATCTCAGAAAATGTGCAAAGGGGAGCATTACAGATGTTTGGCTTGGCTTGTAGAAGTGAGGGGATGGCACTGTTTACCGAAGCAGCTTTGAGTCATTGTCACATTAAAGGACTCCCAAAAATCTGCATAGCCCTGTTATGTAAGACAGTTGCTACATATGCAGGGAAGGCTATGTATTATCCTCAGTTTTAATTTTGTCAAAAGGTATAAACAACATGGCCATAGATGGGCTTTAGCCAACCAGAATGCCCTCTACAAATATGCAGTGGTGGGTTCCTACCGGTTTGGACTGGTTCGGCTGAACCAGTAGTGGTTTGGCGACCTGGGTCGCTAGAACTGGCAGTGATCCAGGCCTGCCATGCCCCTGACAGCACCAGCATCTTCTTTTTCAGTTCTGCGCCTGCACAGAACAATTTTAATTGCACTACGCATGTGCACACAGTGTACATCAAGCGCATGCGTGAAGCGTGCACACGAGCGAACTGGCAGTAGTGCCTACTGGAAGCCATCCCTGCAAATGTGGATCAATTCTCAGAACTCTCAGCAATACCTCCTGTAGCCAAACCTTCTGTAAGTTGATGTCCATGCATCTGGAGAACATAAAAGTTTGGGGAAGGATGCTGAAACATCTCTCTTGGTGTAGGATGCCCCCCCCCCCCCCCGGTTTCTTTTCTAGACTCTTTTTAATTAAAAGAAAATCAAATGGGAAGCTGCAATGCTTCAACAGTTCGGTCTCTGGAATTATCTTTATTTGCTCTATTGACATCCTTAGAAAATACAACTTATAAGTGGTTGCCCAGGTATTTATTTATAGGGGAGAAATGTCCAGACCAAATGTAATTTCTAATGTTGGATTTTTTCCCCCTTACCAGAGGGAGCTCCCTTGTGAAACATTACTATGGCAACTGCACTGCGCTGTACAGTAGAAACCATTTTAAGGCACAACAAGCTGTATCTTAACAGACCACATACCCCGAGGGGTGTTAGAGGTGTCTTACTCCCACAGTATTTTTTTTCCAGAGAGTAAGTCATCTGTGTACCAAGTTTGGTTGAAATTGCTCAAGGCATTCTAGTTATGCTGGAACATACAGTATATAGAATATATGGGTAGTAAACAGCATCTTAATAACCAGAAGGAATGGAGTATGTTTGCTGATAAAATAGAAGTGATGGCTAGAATGCCTAAAGGAGCAGACTTTTAATGACTATGCAAGCCTTTTTAGCGAGCATTTTAAGAATGTGCTTCTGGACTTGCTCTCAAAGTTTCAAATGTGCCCATTCCTGGTTTACATCTTGCCTTTCAAGCAATGGGCTTCTAATCCATAAACTAATCTTTCCCCAGATTTGTTTAGCTTTAGCAACATGGCTTGAGAATCACATCAGCTCTCTGGTGAATTGTCAAGAAATATCCTTCCTTTCCTTTGTTTACATGCTATACACTAGGTGAGGATGAAAATATAAATCATATGGGGCAATTTTCCAATTTATCACTTGGAAACTGGTAATAGGCGGCAGAACTATATGCATTGCAATGGGTTGATAACTAAAAAAAAGTAGAAAGTTAAATTGCAGGGAGTATTCAAGCCTCTCAATTCTACATTGAGCTTCCAAAAACTAATTTTCACTCAGTCCCCAGTGTTGGGCCAACTGTCAATCATTCTCAGGATGAACTGTGACCAATAAACAAAAAACCAAGATTGGGGAAATGTGTTCATGTGTGTGGTGTGTGGGTGTTTAAAAATCAAATGTGAATTACTGGTATTCCATTCATGGCAAGAAAGACATCCCTCACCTCTCAGAAAATAATCTGATAAAGAGTTTTCTCTGCACTTATGGAACATTAAGAGACAACTTTGCAAAAGAAAGTAGGAAGAGAGGAAATTCCATTTAGACTCCTGCAGGAAGGTAGATACAGGACTAGAAACACAGCATTTAAAACTATGCTTCTCAATCTTGACAAATTTATGCTGGGTGGATTTCCAGAATTCCCCAGGCAGCATGCTGGAAATCCCCAAAGCTTAAAGTTGGCTAAAGTTGAGAAACGCCAAGACTTATATAGAGAGAGACTGCACAAAATATTGCGTAGATGATAGATAGATAGATAGATAGATAGATAGATAGATAGATAGATAGATAGATAGATAGATAGATGATAGATGATAGATAGATAGATAGATANTTTTCCCAGATGTGCCAATATGACATCTCTAATAAAAGGAAACTTTGAAGAAACTCAAGTCTCAAAGTCTTCTTTCGTTATGGGTGTTACTTGGAACTCTGACATTAACCCAAATCTCTTCTAAAGAACTCTACCAGCTCCCCCAAATTTTGGGGTGCTGTCCAGGGTCCTGAGCCCCAGCATCGAACCGAGCCCGGGCAGGGTGAAGGGAAGATGGAAGAAGAGACCCACAGAGGAAGCCGTAAGTGACAGCTTGGCAATTTATGTCGACACCATCTACTCTCCTTTCCAAGCCATGGTGGAAGTTGAAGTGAGGGAACGCCAGCTGGGAGCCAGATGCAAAGAGCCGGCACCTGAACAAACCTCACAGCCAGACCTGACCAAAAAACAGGGCATGCATAGGCTTTGGGAGGCTTGTAGAGTGTTCTTGAGGGCTGAGGGGACAAAAGTGTTTTTTGCTCATTTTTGCCCTACCTACCCCCCAGGAGCACTTTGCAAGCTTCCCAAAGCCTATGAACGTCCATTTTTGAGAAGAGAGCAGGGTTCGGGAGGCTAAAAATGCTGTATTCAGTGTATAAGACCCAGATTTTCACTCTCTTTTTGGGGGGGAAAGGTGCGTCTTATACTCCAAAAATATGATAATTGCTATTTTTTTGTCGCACAATATTATGTGGTTTGGGAGAGAGGTCTGGAGTATGAGGATAGCACCTGCCCAAGGATCACCTGGACTGTGGCTAGTGTCACTGTGAAATTACTGAAGTGGCTGAGTTGAAATTGGGAGAAGGGGAAAGGAATCCAAATTTGGATGCTTGGCAACTGGTTGATATTTATGATGGTTACGTATCCCGGGATGATGATCCCCTTTTGTGACCTTTGGACAAGCAAAGTCAGTTGCAAAGTCAGATTCACTTTACAATTGTGTTACTAACTTAACAATGGCCGTGATTCACTTAACAACTGTGGCAAGAACGGTGACAACCTGGGGCAAAACTCCCTTAACAACTGCCTCCCTTACAAACAGAAACTTTGGACTCCATTGTGGTTGTAAGCCAAGGACTACCTATAAATGAGTTTGTGAAAAATATTAATTACCTCTTCTCAATTTTGCGTCTACCTCCAAAAAATACAAGTCGAGGCCATCTGCAGACTCTCCTCTGTGTTTGGTAGCACACATTTCTCTGAACCATCTCTTGAAGGAAACAGCAAAACACACTGTCAAATAATTCACCTCTGGTAAGAATTAATTCACTTATCAATTAAACTGTCAGACCTGCAGTTATATTCCTTTTTAGGATCTTTGGCCTGCCACACTCTCTCTTATTTCATTATGCTGTTTCATTAGTGTAGTAGTTGGGAGGGCGGAATAGAAAGAAGTAGAATTGTGGGATGTGTTGTTGTCATTCTTTTCTAGAAGCCCAAGGTCATCTTTTGTCTCCGCCCCTCTGCACCTGACCAGAACCAGCTAGGTGGAGATGCCAGCATGGAAGAAGAAGATTGGACCATGTGATGGATTTGTGGGTGTGGGAACACGATCATGAACTTTCATCTGGGTGGGAATCCTATGTAACTTCC